AAAAAAAAAAAAAAATTTGGAAGATAAATAGGTACTATCTATAGACAGACAGTTATCTACATAAAACAATGTGAGCACCATAGCTGCACAACGAGCATCAACCAATGTCTGAGCACCCTAATCTCAGGCAAGACTTGCAGGGATCCCACCAGGAAGAGCATAGGAATTCTTGGCTTGACACTTAGGGCCACAATTTTTTAATACTCCATTCCCTTTATAAAGAAAACAGATGCCTGTATGTTGTGACATTTACCCTCGTCTGAGGGTTTTCCTCATATCCTCATTATATTCACTGTTGAAGTACTTCCTCTGCAGGGGTTCTTCACTGAGGCCCATGGTTACTCAAGGAGTCTGCACAGTACTCTATTCCAAATAAAATCTATATCACAACCAAAAATACTCAAAAATTTTTTTCAGTAAAATTAGTGTCACTTGTAAAGCAAGAATTTTATTGTATACTTTTAAAATCATTATTCTGATAGAGGTCCAAAGGCTTCAAAGAATTCCCAAAGGGATTCATGGCACAAAATGTTAAGAATCCCTAAGGTAGGAGATCTCTTTACAGGATCTGTGACAGTTTCACCCTTTCATTTTCATAGTTCTCGGTTCTCTCTTCCATGACCTCATCACCATACCTCTGCTGATTTGAACCGCATGTGTCTATGATGTACTATGACTGGTGATATTTCTTTGGACAGCATACTTCTTACAATGCAATTCAGTAACAGTGCAATTCACAATGGGAATTTTCTTCAAACTGATTTCACCATTTACTGAGCAAATCCTATGTGCTAGTTACTCTTCTAGCTAAAGAAGATACTAGGTAAAAAAAAAAATCACTGCTCTTTATCCACTTACAATCTAAGAGGAGGGTGTGTGTATGTGTGCACACATGTACATGTGTAATAATTTTTTGATTTATGTTCCCCCCCGCAGATCTTGGAGGCATCTGAGGTTTAATGGGGACTTTCCAGCATTCCAGACCATTGCTGTGCGATGAGGCTCTGAGTCACACTCTTTGGGTCTGAGGTACTGGCAACAATGTAGAACCCCAGGACGGCCAACCTGACTAACCTTCACTCTAAGCAGAGACCCAAAATGAGCCTGGCCTAAAATCAGACCAAGCACTAGAGAAAGACTGTTTTGTTCATGGAAACAGGAAAGGAGAAAAGGGTTTCCAACAAATTGCAACAGACTTTCCACCATTCTAAAGAACCCACCTTCCTTATCAACCAAGCCATTCTATCTAGTGATCCCCATTCTAGCCTTTTGCCAGGAACAGAGCTAATCAGTCCTGGTGAAAAAATAAGGACGAACCCTCAGAGAACTCGACCCGGAACGGTGATACTCTCCAAGCGGTCCAGTAGGAGAATTATGTCAGCAAGCCAGCCCCGGCACCCTGTGATCCCATCACGGAGGCCTGGATTCCCCGTGTGCTATATCTGTGGCCGGGAATTTGGGTCCCTGTCACTTGTCATTCATGAGCCCCAATGCCTGGAGAAGTGGCGCATTGAGAACAGCAAGTTGCCCAAGCACCTGAGGAGGCCAGAGCCCCGCAAAGCACAGCCTCTTGGTGGCAGTGGAGCCCACAACCTTCAGGCAGCAAATCAGGCGGCACTCCAGAGCTCCCAGGCTCAGCTGCTGCCCTGTGAGTTCTGTGGCCGCACATTCCTGCCAGACCGTCTTCTTGTTCACCAGAGAAGCTGCCAGCCGAAGGGTGAGAGGCTCAGAGCACCAACCCCCAGTGGCTCTGATGCTCTTACTGGGCTCCAGAGAGCTCCTGGTGGCATCCCAGCCCGACCAAGGATGCTCCTCTGCTACATCTGTGGTAGGGAATTTGGCTCCCTGTCCCTTCCTATTCACGAGCCCAGATGCCTGGAAAAGTGGAAGACAGAAAACGACCAGCTTCCCAGGGAGCTTCGCCAGCCACTCCCACAGAAGCCTCAGGGCCTTCCAACCGGCCAGTCCAGCCAAGAGGGTCCAGGCCAAGCTCAGCTCATGCCCTGCCCAAACTGCAGCCGGACCTTTGCCCCCAACCGCCTTCTGGTGCACCAGAGATGTTGTAAAGCTCAACCTAGTGGGTCAAAAGTTCGGAATTTGACCTTGGGGAGTAAAGGTGGCCTTACAGAGACCACCCATTCCAAGCAGAAGCAGAACATGGCGACACCCACTATGGCTGGCAAGGTAATTCGTGCCACATGAGCTGCACTGGGTGGCCTGGGGGTAAAGTCTGCCTCCCGGGGGAAGAGAAAACACTGTCCCGAGTCAGATGCTTCAGCCCCTAGGATGGCTTCTTTCAATGCCTTATTCCTGCCTCAGTGCAGCCTGTCCAATTGACCCCCTCTCAGACTCCAGGGGCTATACGCAGATACAAGAACATCCTGACTGTTGGGTTCGTAGTCCTCTTCCATTCTTCCACCTAAAGAAAGAGACATGGACTTCCTTCTTCCCCAGTCCTTCATACCAATCATCTCTGGGAGAGACCATTATTTGAAAATGAGTCATTAATGCTGTGTCTACATTACAGAGATTTAACTCCCATTCCAACAGCCAATATTTATTACCAGTTTATTTTAGTCATCTACCTTAGGAATTCATTTTTGGCAATGCTGGGTTATGCTGAGTTTATCTTACTAAAATAGAATATGTGTCAAAAACCCCAAATGACTTTAGCAGTAATTAAACACTGGAGCACTTACAGAAATAGACATGCTCCATAAATACCCCATGTTTCCTTCTAACACTTCCATGATTGTAGTATGTGGGGAATTCGCCCCAGCATAGACGCTGAAGCAACTGGTTCTGGAAAGTGCCCCATGCTCGCTGCTGCTCTCTGCTCTATAGCTGGATTGGACACCAGGCCCTGACCCTCTATTTGGGCAACTGTAAATAAGCAGGGTCCAGGACTCCCCAACCTATGTGACGAAGTGCTGTTGAGCCTTTACTTGCCATGTCACCATCAACCGGGTCTGGGGAAGGATGCTTACAACGAGGCTGCCTGCAGGACAGTGCATGGCGCTCGTACTTTGTCCTGCCACTGAGCCGGGGAGTGGATATGCTGTCCCGTATCACACCTAACCGAATGTCAAATCAGGAGAACTAAGAAGTGTCCAAAATCTTTTCTCCATGGTTTGCTATTTGAAATGCCCCACCTGCAGGGATTTTTTTTTAACTGGACTGTTGTTGGGAAACCAAGTTTATCCAGCTATTATAAAGGATGAAACCAGAGGGATTGGATGGATGGTGTGTGTCTGGAAGGGTGGGGGGCATCCTCTGTTTTTCAGCCAATTTTTCTTCCTTACTTTTTTATTGCATCATTTTGGCAAATGTCAAGTACTTTTCCTTAATTTTGGCATTTCAAATGAAATGATAATTACAAATGAAATGATGACTTACTGGCTTAGAAGACTCCAAGACAATGATCCTAAAGCTGGCAGGTCAGATCAACAGAGTCTGAGCAAGTTTTCCGATGAATACTGAAGAAAGAATGGCTCATTTCTTTGCCGAATTTAAACCTAAGCTCTTAAGAGTGGCATGGGCTGAAGGCTGGTCTCAAGCGTGATCTGTTTTTCCCATCTTCTGGTTGTTGCTTTTCTTCCAGAATGTGTGGAGTCTGGATTCAGAAAGCAAAAGAATCTGTCTCAGGGCCACAAATCTGAAACTCTGTTAGCATTCTGACTTACAGCCCTGTTTCCTGACTGTATGTGTTTGCTTCACATGGTCTCATTACAGATCTCGAGATGGGGAAGAGTGTGGTCAGGATTTTTGCGCTTGTTGTTGTAAGAGTGGAGCCAAGAGGCTGAGCACGGCATGTTCTCACTCAGTCACGACTGCTAAAAGAGGCTGGCCTGGGCTCTCGGCTTCACAAGAAGACACCTCCTGACTCACCCAGTTGTCTTGGGGGGAGAATGTCAGAAGGAGAGGCTGGCGATAGCCTTTGGTGACTCATGCATTTAGGTCCAAGTAGGGGGCATCTGTCATAACAAGGGCATGTAGAGGACATGCTGTGTCAGAGCCCAGCCAACCCTGCTCCCAGGCTTGAAACAGCGCATGTCAGTGAGAAGCTGGCACCCACTGCCATCACATGTGTGCTGGCCCATTTGGGGACCACACAGGCATTAGCAGAGGGCATAGAAAGGTCATCCAACATAGGGTCCCTTTAGCTGCCAAACTTAAAGCAGGTTTGGGTTAAAATGGAGAATACTCTTAGGCTTCAAAGAGGTGTATGATCTCTTGAAGCAACGGACTTTATTCCTTCCCGAGAAAAGGCATTTGCCATTCCATAGAGCTTTCTGCAGAAAGCTTCTCTTGGGTAGTATAGTTTTTCGCTTTCCTCTTTCTATGATTTGATCCCTGTCTATTGCTATTTTTCTTTATATCATTTAAAATTTAGATAGTGCAATGTATCAACCATTTTCCCTAAAGACCAATCATCAGATTTCAGAATTTCATCTGCCTGTGATCGCCAACTTTTGGCTGACTGTGATTCGCACACAGTTCAGATGTTTGCTTTGTTTCTCTTCTTGTCAGAGCCACTTCCCTCTAGAATCCTTGATCTGAAGTCAGATTAGATCAGTGATTCTGCCAGATGTTCTCAGGCAGCTCACTCTTGTAGTAAATTCAGGTGAGAAAAATATTTTCAGAACCATGATCACAGTACTTGGAAAACAATTCACTCCAGTTGAACTACAATGACTGTTTTGCTGGCAGCGTGAATTACCCTCCACTCAGAATCTTGCTCTAACAGAGATCGGCTCCGTTCTGTAAAGACACAGATGCTCCCAGTACCCTTCAATCACATCTAAACACAAAGAAATGCCACTCAGACAAATTCTGCTCCCAGACCTTGGTGGGCATTTTCCTTTCGCTCTGCTCTGCCCTCTAACCCCTGTGTGGGCTTGAATTGTCCTGTTGCTTCTCATCCAGAATATACAGCTAAATTCACTCTTTCTGATCTGGAAGCTGTGAAGGACACTCAACCCTCTGTGGGCAGAATAAGACACCCAGTGTGGATTTGTGTTTAAAAGGTGGCTTTGCATTAAAAGCCCTGGGTTTTTTTCTCCCCCATTACTTGGTAGGATGAACAGTACCACGTGCCCTTTCTTTCCCCTCAAAGAAGGGAAGCCTGAATCAGCAGGATCTAATTTAGCAAGATTTTAAAAGTGTTCATTCCAAAAGAAATTTTGATGCATAATATGGAAAAGCACAGATTATCATTTAAAATTTCAATATTGTGTATATTTAAAGAGATCCTTTGATGCCTATTTTAGTGAGCCGTTTCCTAAAGGCTACTAAGGAGTACAAAAACAGAAGTCATTCTTGTACCTTGTTTTAACGTGAGTGAATAAATTTTAATATTCCCATTTAATATTTGGAAAAAATATTGCCTTTTTCTAGAGGCCGATAGTACTGCATTTAACTTTAGGCCCATTTGGCTAATTGGAACACAGACTGACAGTTAATTAAATAAAACTATCAACCAAAATGCAGCCTTTGTCTAATGACCTTTTATTAGTTGATAATGCTTGGGGTTATTTTCTTAGGATTTTGTTTGTAACTTGTGGAACCCTGTTCCTAAAATTCCAGTACTCTTATACAAAATAAACATTACTTTTCTTCAGGGAAACCATCTTTCTCTATAAACAATTGTCTGTCTGAATGTAGTTTCAAGCTACCCTGGCATCCTGAAACTGAGGTTTGAGCTAAAATCCCATCGGACACATCTCCAGCATGTGGTGCTGCCATCTGGTGTTTTCTTATAAAGTAATGTCTTCCAGAGTATCAAACATATTTTCTTGTTTGTTACGTCCAAGTATATTTAAGAAGACAAACTTATAAGACAAACTTCAGTTTAGGGCTACAGTTATGCACTCGGCTTAATGTTGCAAATTCTGTTCCATGGATAAGTGTCTCATTCCCTAAGGGCAAAACTCTCATGGGGAAGTCACAGCTGGAAAGACTAAGAAGGGCAGGATGGATGTTCTCACATTGTCACATGCTTTATGAGTGAATGTGCATCTACTAGGTGAAAGTATATGGAGTTTATTACGAGGCATGGAAGACAGGAAACTAACTTTTATTGAGTACCTTTTTACAGGACTTTATATACACGATCTTATTTTAATCTTCATAATATTAGTATAAGAAGATTTTATTTTCCCCACTTTCCAGTTGGGAAATCAGAGATTAAGCAGCTTGCCCCAAGCTGTACACATAGTGTTGGGGTCAGAGCCAGATCTCATTCCAAATGCCCGTGTCTTTTTCATCACGAAGAGAGGCACACATGTGATACAGAAAGGGTATGGCTACCCTGCCAGGCTATGAGTGTTAGCAGGACAAAGAGGACAGAAGTGTGTTCATTCAACAAGTATTTATTGTTAGGCGTTGGACTAAGTACTAAATATAGAGTCATAAAAAATATAGGCGCAGTTCTTGAGCTCATGGAGCTTTTAGTCTGATGGAGGAATGATATGAAATGAATAAAAATATATATGAAATTTTAAATTGTGACATGACAGTGTCTAATGGTGGGAGGTGGGCATTCAGGGCCTCAGACCGAGGACTCTAGAGGGAAACTGTTCCAACTGACAAGGGAAGAAATGAAGCAAACGTCTGACTTGTAACAAGAATGCATGTGTGTTGGCTAGAGTGAACCTCTGGAGGAAGTGACATTTCCGTGGGACGTGTAAGGTGGGACAGCGCCAGTGAAGAGTGAAGATGCGGTGGGGGAGACGTTCTGGCCAAAGGGTGGCATGTGTGAAGGCCTTGTGGTAAGAAAAATCTGAAAACAGAACTAAAAAGTCTATGAAAATGTGACCAGAGCCTAATGAAGAGGGGTGGGCGCACAGGAGGAGGTCATAGGGGCCTCCCAGCAGGCTGGGGGACAGCAGTTGTCTGGGTCCTGCAGGCAACCGGGTGAGAGCAGGTGGCTGCTTGGCATGCGGTGCTGCAGCAGAGAAGGACAGGAGGCGCACTGTGCAGAGCTGGGTGACAGCTGGGGTGTGAGGGGTATGCAAGGAGGCAAGATGACTCCCAGATCTCTAGCCAGAGCCACTGCCTAGTGCTATTTTCTGTGATGGGGAAGACTTAAGAAAGGGCAGGCTCTTGAGGATTAAGGCCAATGGTTCCATTCTGGGCGTCTCAAATTCAAAACACTTGCAAAATATCTAAGTGGGTCCGTCAGG